AAATTTACCCATGATAAGAATCAAATTTCTGATTATGATTTTTACACAATTTAACATTATTTTTCTGTTTACATGCAGGCGTGTATTTGCTGCTATTCTCGTCAACATATGTTAGCATATGTTAAAAAGCAATTCAGGTGCCCAAGACCAGTAATCTCAGGCAATGCTGTATTTTAGTCTTTAAATTCTGGCTATCCTAGAGAGCACCCTGAATGCTAATGAAGTGTTTGTGCATCTCCTCAGTCCTAGTGGCTGGTTTGTTAGCAATCTACCACTGTATAACAAATTCCTACAAAGGTTGTAGTTTATAGTCCACCATTCATTTATCTTAGAGTTGTCCGTAGTCAGGAGTTTTGGTATTCTGCTCTGAAGTCTCTTAACGGAGTTTCAATCAAGGGGTCAGCCAGGGCTAGGGTCTCATCTGAAAATTGTACTGGGGAAGATTCATTTTAGTGATCATGTGATTGTTGACAGAAGTCAGTTCTTTGAAGTTTGGACTGGGAACCTTGATTGCAAGTTGGTTTAGGGCTACAGGCTACCTGCAATTCTTGATATATGGGCCTTTCCAATAGCGGCTTGCTTCACTAAAGTATGCAAGTCCAGAAGACAATTGGGAGAGTCTACTAGAAGGTAGAGTCATGGAAAGAACATCTTTTCATCGTTAGTGCATTCTATTTGTTAGAAACAAGTCAGAAGCCCTACCAGCATTCAAGGAAAGTATCACACAAGTAAGTGAAAATAGGAAGTCATTTTAGGTTCTATCTGCCATTAAATTACAACCATACCTACCTACATCTGAAACCCTATGCTACACATAGTTGCCTGCTAAATGAGCAGTCCAGCCACAGAAGAATCTAAGGACAGGTCTAGCACAATACATAAAAGACAGTCCTGAGTTGTTTGCTCTTCCAGAGTTCTTATAGGAGGTATATAGAACAAATGGACTGTTAGTTAGAATACAACTCGTATATAAAGACTGTCTTCCTACATAGCTCCTGACCTAAAGAAAGAACAAAAAACTTGGCATGAATAGATTTTGGATTCACTCAATTCTATTGCCCTCCTTTATAACAAGTCCTTTATAAAAATCCATTCTAAAATGAATCCATAAATAGAATTTACCTACATATATAAGTTCAATGCATCAGAAGGGCATAACTAATATAAAAGACCAAAGAAAATAATTCTAATGAAGCATGCTTCAATTTTTAAGTGCTCTAAATTAAAACAAAGAAATTGGATTCTAGTTGGTTTTTGTTTTGTTGGGGTTTTTTTGTTTTTTCTTTTTTGGTACTGGGAATCAAACCCAGGATGTTGCACTTGCTAAGCAAGCACTTTGCCACTGAGCTACTTTCCAGCCCTGGATTCTTGGCCTTAAATCTATAATCACTGAAAGCTGGACATGGTGACACATGCCTATAATCCTAGCACTTAAGAGACAGAGACAGAGGCCTCTGCCTCTAAACAAAAGAATGAGTGTGTGAGTGAATGAATGAATAAATGAGGGTTGAGGATGTAGCTTAGTTGGAAAGTGTTTGCCTCACATATGTGAGGCTCTGAGTTCTATTCCAGTACCACCACCCCTACACCCACATACGCCATATGCACTCACACATGTTCGCGCGCGCGCGCGCGCGCACACACACACACACACACACACACACACACACACACACCTGCCAATGAGTTAGCTATAATATACTGATGCTTGGGAAGGAGGTGTGGTGGTAAGTACTAACGGTATGATTTTCTAGAAAGATGAACAATTCTTGGAAACTTTTTCTTTTCTTTTTTTTTTTTTTTTGTCGGTTGTGGGGCCTGAACTCTGGCCCTGGGCACTGTCCCTCAGCTTTTCAGCTCAAGGCTAGCACTCTACCCCTTGAGCCACAGTACCACTTCTAGTTTTTTCTGCTTATGTGGTACTGAGGAATCGAACCCAGGGCCTCATGCATGCGAGACAAGCACTCTACCACTGAGCCACCTTCCCAGCCCTTTGGGAACTTTCTGAACAAAGCAAATCATCATCCCATAATTTACACTGAAATGGCATTCCTGGAAAAGTCAGTGCAAGTTCAAATTGTAATCCCCTCTTCCCCCAAAAAAGTCCCAAAGCTGGGGACTGGTGGTTCACACTTGTCATCCTAGCCATTCAGGAGGCTGAGATATAAGGGTTGTAGTTTGAAGCCAGCGTAGGCATGAAAGTCTCTGAGACTCTTATCACCTGTTAACTACTAAAAAGTTGGAAGTGGAGTTGTGGCTCAAGTGGTAGAGTGCTAGCCTTGAGCAAAGAAGCTCAGGGACAGCGCCCAGGCCCTGAGTATAAGCCCCAGGACCAGTACACACACACACACTTATGTTGGAGTTAGTTCAAGTTCAGGTAACTATAAATAAGGTCTTTAAGACATGTCATGCAGGACATTGGGACCATAAAGACTTTGAGAAAATTCACCGTACAGGACTTTGCTGTACTTGTGGAGACAAATGTCTCAGACCTGTCTCTTCCCCTCTCCCCTACTCTTCCTCTAATTCCAGAAGTGGTTCTCAATTATTGCAATAGTAACTCTTGTTTGGGCAGAAGTAGTAGCTTGGGGCCCTGAGTTGAATCCCTAGCACCACAATAAACTTGAATTCCAAGTTTAACCTGGAGGTGGTTAAAGGAAAACAAGGCAGTTACTAAGTTTGGCTGGACCCAGTTAAAACTTTTTTTTTTTTTTTTTTGATCTCTGATACTGCTTTCTTCACCACAGGTGCTGGCTGGGGCTGCAGGCCTGAGGTGCCCGCTCAGCCTTCTGAGGGTTAGGCCCGGCAGCCTCCCTGTGGAGATTGGGGGGGCGGGGGCAATTAAATCTTTATGAAGAAAAAAGAGAAGCATTGGGAGAAGAGTATAAAAATGATGCACTCAAAAAGCTGATCAACAAAAACATGTATATATACACAATGAAATTCTACGCCTCCATCAGAAAGAATGACATTGCCCCATTTGTTAGGAAATGGAAAGACTTGGAAAAAATTGTATTAAGTGAAGTAAGCCAGGCCCAAAGAAACATAGGTCCCATGATTTCCCTTATTTGCAATAACTAGTATATGTCTGAGACAAGCAGAAACGGTCAGATAAGTTGATGTTAGACAAAATGAACCCCAAGATAAGGACTCAAATGTTTTTTCTTTCTTGCTATTGTTTCTAACATATTTATAAGATGATTTCTTTGCTGCTTTGTATGTCCCTCCCCCACGGTATAACCCCTGTTTTCACTGTATTTGATGTTGGTATAATTTGGGGAGGGGAAGGGAAAAAAACAAATTGTTTAAATAGGGATACAGGTGGACTCATTGCAACAATGAGATGTACAAGATGTTATGTTGAAAAACAAACTTTACAACTTTGGCGCTGGGGGTGGGGGGAATGGGAAGGGATGGTAAGGGGAAACAAAGGAGGAGGCAACAATGCTTGGTAAGAAATGTACTCATAGCTGGGCGCTGGTGCCTCACGCCTGTAATCCTAGCTACTCAGGAGGCTGAGATCTGAGGATCGCGGTTCAAAGCCAGCCCGGGCAGGAGAGACCGTGAGACTCCTATCTTCAATAAACCACCAGAAAGCCGGAAGTGGCACTGTGGCTCAAGTGGTAGAGCGCTAGCCTTGAGCTGAAGAGCTGAGGGACAGCGACCAGGCCCAGAGTTCAGGCCCCACAACCGGACCCAAAAAATAAAAAAATAAAAAAAAATAAAGGCAGTATGAACATTTTCCCAGAGAGGTAAAAATCCTTCAACATAATGTTAATGGCTGTAGAACGTGCCAATCTAAATGGATAACATCATTTCCCTCCCATCTGTCCTCTGTTGGTGGGCATTGAGGTTGCTTTTAGTTTTCTCTGTTAACAATGCACCAAAGAACAACCTGTGGCCATTCTCACAAAGGGAAGGGATAGAATGGGCTAGATAAAATGGTCTAACCTGATTGCTTTTCATAAGCAAAGTCTTTTCTGTTTCTACTTACAACCTCTCAGGCCCCAGTCGTGGGGCCTGAACTCTGGGCCTGGGCGCTGCACCTCAGCTCTTCAGCTCAAGGCTAGTGCTCTATCATTTGAACCACAGCAGCACTTCCGGCTTTTTTCTTTTTGCTTAAGTGGTGCTGAGGAATGGAACCCAGGGCCTCAGGCATGCAAGGCAAGCACTCTACCACTGAGCCAACTTCCCAGCCCCAACTTCTCCTTTTTTAATCTGTATGTGGACACAGAAGTCTTCTGCATTTCTGAAACCCTGTAAATCAAAACAGAGAGAAGCCAGAGCTCATCCAAGGCAGATGCACTGCAGGTTCTGGTCTCTATCTCCAAGTGGCCTCTTTCTGGCAGTTCTAGATTTCCACAGGTCCACATTTCCTTAGTAGGAGTGAAAAGATTCCACCAGTAGTGTGGACTGCCACAGGAAATAACTGTGGGCACCTTGTAGAGGTATTTGGAGTCACCCTCACTGTAGGATCAAGCCTGGGGAGATGTCTTCATGCCCCTTGCTCTTGCTGTGGAGAGTGGAGGCTTTAGCCAGATTAGAAACAGATGTTAAAGAGCAATCATGCTCAAACAAGTTTGGAATGAAGTGAGGCATAAAGAAATGAATGAAAGTAAAGTGAAAAAGTTCACATTAAAAAGTGAACTTTGACATTATAGAAATATTGCCAAGTAAGTTGAAATATCAGCTATTGAGAGAAATCATATTATCAGCATGTCTTCTCCAAACCATTGCCCAAGCACCAGATGGGAATTTTCTCTATTTCATTGGGTCCCTAAATAACCCAAAGTCCTCTAGAAGTACATGATGGTTGGTCTTGGTGGAATTTTTATCCAGTTCTCAGAGGCTCTCATCAAGCCAAGCTAGTGAGGCATGCCCAGGAAACTCCCTGGGAACAGTGTCAGAACAGCAACAGGGTCACATGTGCCTCAGTTTCCCTGGTTGTTTTTCACTTGGGCATTAACCTGGGTTATTTTTTTTTCTTTATCACAGTATGCAACTGATTATTACGTGGTGAACCGCACCAACAACTTTGGAAATGTGACCCGTGAGAAGGTAAAGTTCTTTATAAAGTTTCTTGTGAAGAAATAGTGTATAAAGTGTACAATGTTCCTTATGTAAGGGACATATGTGATAAATCTTTTCTTAGTAGAGTCAACACCTTCATAGTTTGAATGGACTATTCTAAGCCTGTGAATTAGATTTGCTTCTGTAGTTGTTTGTCACTATGGCCAAATGCCAATACAGCCACCACAGCCACCAAATCTTCAGAGAATATTTAAAATATTTTCTAATACCTTTTCTACTATCCTAGAATATAACTAATAGGTGTTGCAATTCACCCCATACACAGATAACTTTTTAAAAATCAAAGTAATAAATAATAAAACAATCCATATTTTACTATGTAAATGCACAATTATATTAAAAGCTATACCAAGTTTTCAGGTATTTGTATAGACTTGAAACAAATAAATTTTGATTTCAAATCAGTGAGATTGAGCTGGACATAGTATTGTATACCTATAATTCCAGCTACGTGGGAGGCTGAGGCACAAGAGTCACTAGAGTGTAAGGATTCAGGTCAACCTGGGCAATATAGCAAGACTGTCTCTAAAAATATAAAATAAATGTTGGCATTTTCCCCTTTTGGGGGGATTTTGAATTGCATGCTAAGTAGCCAGTTTTGAATCTGTGCATAGAATCACCCTGACCATCCCTGCTAGGACTCCAGGTTGACATCAGGCTTTGTAGAGTGTACACAGGCCCTTTGGACTTGGCTATTAGCACTTTGTCTTGGTGATACATTTTCTAAAATGGCAAATCACATACAGTGAAGTTCACAACAAAATAGATGTTTCTTTTCTTGTGTTTAACATCAATTTGATATTCTTGGAACATGCAATATATATGAAAACATTGCATTAAAAAGCTATTTATGTGTAAAATGAAGTCAACACTCTCCTTTGACATGTCATTTGAACCCTGGGACAGCCTGCACTTGTGGGACTTATCCCCATTGTAAATGATTCTAGCTGACGGTCTTCTGAGGATGATCATGACCATTCAAAGCCAAGAGCAATGCTGCAGAAATGCTGGAACACAGCTTATCCCTGCAATACCTTTGGAGTTTGGCATCATGACTTCTCCTAGCTGCCCTGATTCCCCCACTGCAATGCTGCTATCCCCTTGTCCTCGCTGTAAACTTAGCTAGGACTGCAAGAAGACCAGCCGCAGGAGGAGCAGTGCATCTTCACTGCTTTCAGGCTGTAAGATTACATAAAGACATAGCAGGAGTAATCCTTGTCCCAGGGATGGAGTGAGAAGTGGAGCCCAGAGGCCCTAGGACACATGGAAAGGCCCCTGCCCCATGGCTCTCTTCCAAGCTTACTTTGATCCCAAGTAATAACTTGCTGTAGGTACACAACTCCTACCTAGGCTTTCATTCAATCATTAATTCAGTAAACTGATTTATTTGGCAGCCACTATATATAAGGCAAAGTTCTGCTCTTGCAGAACTCCTAATGGAGGGAATGAGTGGTATAGGTATTGGGAACAGAATATGCATACAAAGCACAGCTTAGGACGCAGCTCTGGTTGTAGCTCTCTTAGCTTATGGTCAATGTCAAGGTTCTAAGTGTATTGCAGTGCAGCACACCTTGTTCTAAACCCACCTGCCACCAGCTTTCTCTACAGAAAGGAATATTTTCATTGGAGAAATTACCGGTATTGCCTCAAGTCAGAAAGTCATTTCCTTTTCTGGAAAAGCCTAATCTTAAACACCATACCTTAGAATTGCAGACTTCTAAAACTAACTTTTGCTCAGTACATAAGTTTTCTGATTGCATCGATTCTTAAGTGTCAATTCCAGTTAGGACACAGAACATAGATCAAGAGGAAAAAACAAACATGTAAAAAGTAGATGCTGATGGCTCATGCCCAAAATCTTAACTATTCATGAGGAGACTGTGGTTCAAAAATAGACTGGGCAAAAAAAGTCCATAAGACTCCATCTCTAAAATAGCAGAAAAAAGCTGGGTTGGAGGTATAACTCAAGTAATAGAGTACCAGCTGTGAGCAAGCAAGCTGAGCAAGCTCAAGGTCCTAAAATTCAAACTGCACTACTGACAAAATAAAATGTTAGTGGACAAACCTGTGTGTTAGCCATACACCCCATAGAATCCTGTTGACTTTTACTAGTGACCTTCCTTAAAAGCTAGCAGTAGAGGAAGCATTAAAATCCAGTCTAATGTCTCCATAGTTAATTAACCCCTACAGCTTTAATAGACCAAGTCTTGGGAGAAAATAATGCTGTTTAGAAGTCTTATTGTCTATAGGTTTATCATAATGTTAGAGAAGAACAAACTCCAGATAAAGCAAGCATAGACTGAATTCTAACCCAATATCCATAACAAAATAGCAGCTAATTCTTTTTTTTATTTTTCATTTTCCAGGGATAGTCTGAGTACTTAATGTATAAGTGCAATCAGTCATCATAACAAATATTTGTTAGCTACTTTTTTATTCCCATTTAATAAATGGGGAACTGAGGCAGAGAGATTAAGAAACTTACCTCATGTAGCTAGAAGTAGTGGGAGTCAGGCTCCAAATATTCTTCCTCTATAAGTAATGTAGGTATGACTGGTAATTTCTATATCAATAGAAACAAAATCTGTGTAGTTGGTAAATCACCATCCTGTATTTCATCTTTTCTATTAGATTTGAAATTTCTCATAATAAAAGCTAAAAGAAAAATGAAAAAGGAACCAGTATTTACTGTGTATTTGAATTCTAAGTCCTTGGTATAATTCATGTTCATTGTACCTTTTGCTTGGAAGTCTCCAGTTAGTTTGGAAACTAGCAAAGTCCCTAGACAGCATGTATGTACTAATTTTGAGTGCCCATTTACCAGACACCAGGCCAGGCCCCAGCCTTAATGATAGGGGCTGAAAGGGACAAGAGATCCTCAGGGATTTTCCAGCCCAGGCTGTGTGGTAGGTCTGTCACTAGAGTGAAGAGGTACTTCTGCCCTCTCCCCAGCTCACACATGTACCTCTCACCCAGGACAAAGGAGCTCAAACCCTAAAGAAAAAGGTCGACTTTAAAACCAACCTGTTGAGAGCTACTGAGTCCAACTCACTTTCTCTTATAGATGGAGAACCTAAAGGAAGAGAAGTTAATATGCAAGCCAGAACTAGAACTTGGATCAATGGCAAACTACTTTCTGCTTTACTATGCTGAATCCGTTTCCTTTTCAGGTACCCATCAGCACTGAGATTGAAGGGATGAACATTTTAGGATTGGTCCTTTTTGCCCTGATGCTTGGGGTGGCCCTAAAGAAGCTAGGCTCTGAGGGAGAAGAGCTCATCCGTTTCTTCAATTCCTTCAATGAGGCAACAATGGTGCTGGTGTCGTGGATCATGTGGTGAGTGTCTGTCTCCCTGCTTCCTCCTTTCCCTCACATTTCCCCTGATGTCCTGGAAAGGACCTGTCTGCCATTCTAGGTTACCTGGGGTAGGAGCCACCTGGCCCAGTGTTCTGGATGTTATTGGCACCAGTCTCAGTAGAGGAGGTGATGGAGGTGGAGGCATGTCTTCTCTTGTCTAGGACCTCAGAGAATTAGATACAACAGTTTCCAGCCCTCCTTGGCGTCCACATTGACCCACTGTCAGCACATATTATATGGGCTACCCAGATCATTTTATAAAGCAATGAATTCCTTGTGCTATCGGCTGCATAAACTAAGGTTCATGTATCCTAAAATGATTGGAGGTTCCTCACTATATCATTTCACAACATCAAGGACAACCCATCTCCACCCAGCCAGAAGGAATAACTTGTGATGTCTTGTAGGTAAGCTTTGATTTCCTTAATGTTCCTTTGCACAATAGCAGTGAAAAGATGATTACTCAATATAAACCACTAGATTAATTGCTGGCAAAGAAAAAAAGGTAAAAATGTGACCAGTTCCCTCAAAGCAATTCCAGTGCTCATCCTGTGTAAGCTTTGCATGGTATTTCACCCATACCAGACCTCTGTGGCTTTTAGCTGATAACCATTTGTTATTAAGAATTAGCTGATGTTTTCATGCACAGAGTATTTGCTCACTGTCAACCCTTGAAGATCCCAGAACTTTGTTCTTTCCAATGGCATTGAGTGCCAGCTGGATTGATGTTAAAAATTTGAAACTAAGTGAGAGGCCAAATCGACACTTTCCTCATGGCATTCCTCTTGCTCAATCTGATATTCCAGAGCTTCATTCTTGTACTGTAAACATGCCACTTCACAGGACTCTTGATGAGCTGGGCTAAGAACTGGTATTTTTGAAGAGGAGAAAGCTATTTCATCAGATAGAAAGTTCTTTTTTTAGTTTGTTTTTTTTTTCAGTATAAAATCCTCCCAAAGTGTGGATTAAAAAAAACCTTATTACAAATGAGGGAGACCATGCAGAGTATGTTTCTTTGGGGCTGGCTTACTTTCCTAATATAACTTTTTCCAAGTCTCCATTTCCTTACAAATGGGGCAATGCCATTTTTTCTGATGGAAACATAGAATTCCATTGTGTATATATTCCACATTTTTTGATCCATTCCATATCTTCGCTATGGTAAATAATACTGCAATGAATATGGTTGTGCTGGTAGCTTTAGTATGGACTTGTTTGTGGTCATTTGGGTAAATGCCTAGGAGTGGGGTACATATGACCATATAAAATGATGCTTATTGAAATAAACGCCAAGAAATGGAAATAAGAGGGGTTTTTTAAGTGTGCTATTTGCAGTTCTTTTTCTTTTTTCCTTTTGTTTATTCCCTATTATCACTTTTTATTTCTGTACCCTTTGTCTTGTATTTAGGGAAGGGAAGGGTAACCACAGAAATGGTGGGACGAAGGGTGAAACTCACTAGACACTGTTTAAAATGAACTTTACATCTTGGGGGAAGGAGAGTTGGGAGACAGGAGAGGGAGAAAATGAGGGAGGCAGTAACACTTAAAAATAATGTACCCGCTGGACTGGGAAGGTGGCTCGGTGGTAGAGTGCTTGCCTTGCATGCATGAGGCCCTGGGTTCCATTCCTCAGCACCACATAAGCAGAAAGAGCTGGAAGTGGTGCTGTGGCTCAAGTGGTAGAGTGCTAGCCTTGAGCTGAAGAGCTGAGGGACAGCACCCAGTCCCAGAGCTCAGGCCTCATGACTGGCAAAAAATAAATAAATAATGTACCCATGCCTGTAATCCTAGCTACTCAGGAGGCTGAGATCTGAGGATCACGGTTCAAAACCAGCCCGGGCAGGAAAGTCCCTGAGACTCTTATCTCCAATAAACCACTAGAAAACTGGAAATGGCACTGTGGCTCAAGCGGTAGAGCACTCACCTTGAGCTGAAGAGCTGAGGGACTGCTCCCAAGCCCAGAGTTCAAGCCCCACGACCGCCGACCCCCCCCCAAAAAAAAATAGTGTACTCACTAACTTACTTATGCAACTGTAATCCCTCTGTTCATCAACTTTACAATAAAATAAACTTTATGCAAGAAAGTAGTACTCCCTGGTTAGAGCATCTGTTTTCAATCCCAAAATCAATTTAGTGTTCAGTCTGATGTCCTGGTTAGTTACATCAACAGGAAGGCAGATATCTGACTGCGATGGGAGATCATTGTCCAGAAAGTACACAGGACACAGAATTAGAGGGTTTTGTTGGGTGGGTGAGTGGTTTTTGAGACAGGGGCTCACTATGATCTTGAACTCAGAAGAATCCACCACCACACCTCCAAAGTGCTGGGATTATAGATATGTGCCAACACATTCTGCCTAAAATTGGAGTTTTAAATGCCTTCACATTTAAAAAACCTCAACCAGGTTTGGGAGAATTTTCAATAATAGTAGCTCTTTTTTTCCTCCAAATACACACATTGAAACCAAAGATCTCAGAATGTGGATGCAGGACGACCATGAGTTTGAGATCAGCCTGGGCTACATAGCAAGATTTTGTCTTTAAAAAAAAAAAAATTAGCGCGCCTGACTATTCACTGAACTCACTAAAAAAGACCAAATATGGAAAAATGGAAAATGTATATGAATAATGGAAAATTTGGAAAATGGAAAAGGTATATGAGTAGGCAATTCATAGAAGAAGAGACTTGTGTAAGCAGTAAGCATATTAAGAACTGCCCAACCTCACTAGAAATCAGAGGAATGAGCATTGGGTTTTTACCAGGTACTGATAAGGGTAAGGAAAAGTGCTTTTGACATTTTGGGCTGACCATTCTTTATTGTGAAGGGCTGTTGTGTGTGTGGGAGGCCAAGTTGGTGGGGAAGGGGTAGCATCCTGCCTCCACCTAGACGCCACTAGCAGCAGGCCGCCATAGTTATGATGTAACAGCCAAAGCTGTTCTCAAGGTACCTGCGGGAGTTCCCTGGGGTCAAATCTTCCCTGGTGAACTGGTACAGGAGGACTATGTTCCTCTACACCACAGGTGGGGATGAGAACTGGAGCAGCCACTCTGAGTCAGCAGTACCCACTAAAATTTAAGTGTGCACACACCCCTGCCTCCCCCCTCCCTGCACTTCTTCTTGGTATCCCCTGTCCGAGGACATAGGTATGTGGACACAGAGGGATATGTTTGCAATGGTGTTTATAATGATAAGTAGCTGGAATCAATTTAAATGACACCATTAACACAACAATAGCAAAACAACCTACAGTATTCTACAGGTTATTCATTCTGAAGAAATATCTTTAAGTAATAAGGTAAGGATAGAAACAACCCAAAAGTTCATCAGTGGATGGATGGCTAAAAGGTATATGGAATATATAAAATGGAGTATTATTGAGCCTTAAAAAAGAATGAAATTCTTACATGTGGATGAACCCCAAAGACATCATACTAAGTGAAATAAGCCATCACAAAAGGGATAATATATGATTCTACTTTTGCATATCTAGAACAGTCAAATTTGTAGATAAACAGAAAGTTGACAGTAGTTATAAAGCACAAGCTGATAAAAGAAAATTAGGGCGAGAGTTCTAGTTAATAGGTAGAGTTTCTAGGTGATAAAAATGTTCTGAAGCCAATGGCTCACACCTGTAATCTTTACTACTCAGGATGCTGAGATCTGACAATTGCAGTGTGAAGCCAACTCAGGTAGGAAAGACTATAAGACTCTATCTCTAACCACCAAAAAGCCAGAAGTGGAGCTGTGGCTCAAAGTGATACAGTGCCTGCGTTCAGTGAAAAAGCTAAGAAACAGCACCCCAGCTCCAAATTCAAGCCCCAGTTATGAGGCACAAAAGAAAGAGAAAAGAAAGGAGGTGGTTCTGGAGAAAGGAGTGATGCAGGCCATTTAGCAGTGAACTGAATACCTCAGTGACTGAAGTGTTCAATGTTATGTACATTTCACCATAGTAATGGAAGGAATGGTGTAGATTTCTAGGCACTGATAGGAAAAGATCTCAAAAGTGTGATCAGGGTGAGAAATGTAGATTTTTTTGGTGTGTGTGTGAAAATACCATACAGAGGGGTTACAATTACACGGGCAAGGTAATGAGTACATTTCTTATCAAGAATTGTTGCCTCCTCCTTTGTTTCCCCTTACCCTCCCTTCTCATCTACCCCCCTCTCCCCCACCACAAACATAGAATTAAAATGCATTCTACATACATAAATGCTTAAAAAGTATAAGTAGATGTAAGCAGAGGAGTAGTTGATGTCCAAAGAGGAATTTGGTCGTGTTTATAATGTTTGAAGTTTTGAAGAGAGAATGTATTTTTATGTATGGTGATGAGATTTGAAATTAATAATACCACTTAGAAGATGTCCAGGAAGAATCCTTAAGAAGCCAGTGACATTGGCTTTCTCCTCTGGGAGCTTGGGGGACAGATGTGAGAAAGATTTCATACTATTTACTCTGTTGTACCCCCTTGAAATTTATAAACTTTTTCCTGAGTTGACATTAAATTCTGAACAACTGACTTTTGTTCTCTGTAGCTCCCGTAAGTCATTCCTTCCTCTTCTGCCTTTAAAAAAAATCTTCACGTTCTAGCAGTGCTCCCAGAGAGTCTTTGTTAATGACTTTTTCCCACGGGATCATGTTTTCTAAACCACAAAGAATGTAAAACTTCACACAAGTCCCAGCTTTGTATCACAATTCTGTGAAACAGATGTTAGTCTTTCCTGTTTCTAAGTTCCCAAAACAAGGCTGAGCAGAACTGAAAGTCCAGTTCACAAATCTCAGAGCTTTTGATCTTGGGTCCCTTGCCTTTCTGGGAGCTCATGTGCATGGTAGAATCTATCATCGGATACACTGGTAGCGTTAGGTGTTCTGGTACATGCCTATAATCCCACCATTCAGGAGGGTGGAGCAGGAAGATGGGCTACATAGAAAGACCCTGCCTCAAACTAACCAACCAACAAACAAAAACAACCCATGTGTCCAAGGGAAGTAGTACCCTTAGTACTTTATTTCACTCAGTCTCATGACTGATAAAATGGGGATGTTTGACTCCAGTCCTTCTCTGTGCTCAGGATTATCCTAGAGTGAGGTGATGGCCTAATTGAAAGTCCTTGTATTCTGTGTCAGGAAGGGCCGGTATCCATCTCCCAGCCTCTCCTCACCGACCTGACCAGTAGTACCTTGTGCTTCTACCCTAGGTATGTCCCTGTGGGCATTATGTTCCTGGTTGGAAGCAAGATTGTGGAAATGAAGGACATTGTCGTGTTAGTGACCAGCCTTGGGAAATACATCTTTGCATCCATATTGGGCCACATTATTCATGGAGGAATTATTCTGCCACTAGTTTATTTTGCTTTCACACGCAAAAACCCATTCAAATTCCTCCTGGGCCTCCTCACACCATTTGCGACAGCATTTGCTACCTGCTCCAGGTGAGTGGGCTTGGGGTGGCCTTGGCTGCTCTGAGCCACATCGGTATAGAACCAGGCAGCCTAGTGGCAGGTGCACTACCAGGCTTTAGTTGGGGAGCATTTTGCCCTGAGGCTACATTGGATCTTGAGAAATTTAGAACAGGTAAATCAACAACATCTAAATCCAGAAAGTCAAATTGTGAATAATTTGGGAATTCATAAAGCCTCCTGTTACACTAGAAACTTTGAAACAATTATGGGTTTCCCCATATTTTAAGGAAAAATAGGAACTCAAATGCTGCTAACCCCTCAGTCCCAGAGTCTGAGAAGAGGCTACTCTGAGGGTTGACGGTGTTTTATTTTTCCATTTCTAGTTCAGCAACCCTGCCTTCTATGATAAAGTGCATTGAAGAAAACAATGGTGTGGACAAGAGGATCAGCAGGTTCATTCTCCCCATTGGGGCCACTGTGAACATGGATGGAGCAGCCATTTTCCAGTGTGTGGCTGCAGTGTTCATCGCCCAGCTCAACAACTTTGAGCTGAATGCAGGACAGATTTTCACAATTCTGTAAGCTTGGCATTCTTTCCCTCATCTTTAGGCCTGGCTCAAAACCTGAGGTTCCTCCCTTCCTTTCTTGCTTGTTTTAGTTTTTAAATAGGGTCTTGCTTTTTTTTTTTTTTGTCTTAAGATGTCCAGATGTGAGATACTCCTGTTTATACTTCTTGCATAGCTGAGATAACAGGAGCAAACTACCCTGCCCAGTGTATTGGTTGAGTCTAACTCAGCTCTCCCAATCTCAGAATCTTAGTAGCTTGGATTACTGCACCTGGCTTGTGATTTCCTTTGAAAAACCAATCTCACCACAATTCTGGGTCTCATTTGTAAATGCAGACAGTGTGCATTCATTACCATCATCCCTTCTTATCTTGGGGGCATTGATTCCAGGAGCTCCCTGTCCTCCCATTCTGAAGTCCCTTATACATTTGCATATAAGCTACTCACATTTTCCCATGTCCTCTAAGTCCTCTCTAGATTATCTGTAACACCTGCTATAGTTAAATGATATGTAAATAGTTGTGACACTGCATTCTTAGGGCACAAAGACAAGAGGGGAAAGTCTGTACATGTTCAGTTAAGGCACATTTTTAAAATATTTTTTACCCATCGTTGGTTGAATCTGAGGATCTGGTGGGATGACTGTATGTGGGAGGGTACAGTCTGTCTCCTGAGCCCCTAGAATCGATGGTAGAGTAGTTTTCATTTCTAAGCCTGGCTGCATGTCTCTGTGCTCCCTCTGCCCCAGTTGTGCTCTGTGAGAGTGCCTGACATTGCTTTGCCATCCCCTAGCGTGACGGCCACGGCATCCAGCGTTGGAGCAGCAGGTGTGCCAGCTGGAGGGGTCCTCACTATCGCCATCATCCTGGAGGCCATCGGGCTGCCCACTCATGACCTCTCTCTGATCCTTGCTGTGGACTGGATTGTGTGAGTAGAAGGTTCTGAGGACACTGAGAAAGAAAGTCTTACTGAGTTCCTTAGGTGCTTGACACTCTGCTAAGCCTGGGGCATGAGGACAAACTTAAAACACCTCTGCCTTGTGAAGGAGCCTAGACTGAGCTGGCAGGGCCAGATTTGTAGACAGGAAACATTAAGCAATATGGAGGTCAAGTGTCTGTGAACATTCATGAGTGATGATGAGGTACTGTTACTGAAAACTTGCCAGGGTCAAGGCCCTCATCCTAGACGCAGGGGTGAAAGGCCTATGATTGTTGGCTGCACGGAATCCTAAGTAATCAGAGCAGTGATCACTTGAAAGTGGTTGTCCCTACCCTGGCTATGTCTGAAGGATGATTTCTGTACAAGGAGAGAATGAGCCCTGCTAATGGGAATGACTGGGGCTCAAGCTCAGGAGAAGCAAAGTTAGGCAAAGAGGTGATCCAGACCAACAGCTCCAGGCCTCCTGGGATGGTGCAGAAGAGTTTCTAGATGCTGATTCCTTGAGTCTTGTGATACATTTGCAGGTATAAATAACACCCATATATAGGGAAGACCACCTGAAGTAGTGATGTTCACACAGCAGACCATATAGGTACAAGATAAGCCCTGGAACACAGCACCTGGACTCAAGTCCTAGCTTTTCTATGCAGTAGCTATATAATGTGAACTCTTCTGTGTTGTGTTCTGCTGGGCCCAGGGCCCAGGGCCCGGACAGAGAGGAGAGCATTCAATAACTATTTAGCAAAGAAGGCATTCCTGTGGGGCTAGTCACAACCAGACAGGAGAGAACCTGAACCAAGGTGCCTGGCACTAGGCTTTTGGGTAAAGTTTGTTTATCGACATAACGTCTTGTACATCTCATTGTTGCAATGGGTGGACCTGTATCCAAAGGGACTACTCCGAATCCTGAGGGCCCCTTAGAGAAATAAGGGTGAAGTATCCCATAGAGACTCCTATTGTCCAGACACCTTATCAGAGGGAACTCTGTCCCTAAGCTGGCAGCTTAGACCGGATCAGAGCTGTATTATATGCTTATGTCTTTCCTACCCCTCATGTCCCGTGTGTGTGGAGTGCTTAGCTGGGAGGGAAATAGGGTCCCCGTGGCTACCCAGAGCCTCCAGTCTCACTGCAATGGCTTCAGCCCTCTGGCATTCTTTAGGAAGAGTTCATTATCTCCCTTTTCTTTTAAAAGACACAGTACAGCTGGGTACCAGTGGCTCAACCTATGAGGAGGCTGAGATCTGAGGATCACAGTTCAAAGGCAGTCCAGGGAAGGAAAATCCATGAAACTCTATCCCCAATTAACCACAAAACACCAGATGTGGAGTTGTGGCTTACATGGTAGAATAGTAAGTAGCCTTGAGAACAAAGGCTCAGGGACAGCACTCAGGCCCAGAAAAAAAAAAAAAAAAAGCATAGTACTATCTCTAAGCTCTAGGGACAGGAGTGGCCATTGGGCTAACTTGCAGCAAGAAAACTTCTGGAAAGGCTTTCTGTGAGGTGATGCTTTTCCAGAGCCATAGAATGAATGCATGGGAGATTAGTGTCATGGAGTGAAGCATGGCCAAAATGAGAATGCCAAGGGGAAGAGAGCTGGATGCCAAACCACATCTACTTTCTTCTCCAGTTACATACAATATGATATGATGATGTTCACTGGCATAGAGAAACGCCACAAAGAACTCTCAGAGTTGTGGAATATGCATTAGCTTGTCTTCTTCCTTCAAATTTTCTATCAACAAAGGTCTAGTGTGTGTGCATATGCATATGCACATATATGTATGCGCATATACTCATATGTGACCCATACTGGAGCTTGAACTCTGGGCCTGAGAGCTATCCCTTAGCTTTTTCTGCTCAAGGGTAGTGCCACATCTCCACTTTTTGCTCTCTGGTGGTTAACTGGAGGTAAAAGTCTCATAGACTTCCCTGCCTGGGCTGGCTTCAAACTATGATCCTCAGATCTCAGTCTCCTGAGTAGCTAGGATTACAGGCATGACCCACTGGCACCAGGCTTCTACTTTTTTAAATCTTTAAGTGGTTGTACAAAGGAGTTGCCATTTCACAAAAAAATTATGCACGCAATTTATCTTGATCACTGTCACCCTTTTTCCTCACGCATCCCTCCCCTACCCATTCTTTCCCTCACTCTTCTTAATTTTGTAGGTTATACATTGGATTCTCGTATGCACCACTTTTACATATTTTTATGAGAGTAGAAGATTGTTCAAAGAAAATCAGTTTAGGGCAAGTCTCTTAGTGACATGCCTTCCAGGAAACAAAATCCCTCCAGTCACAACTTCCCCATGGCCATCGCCTGAGACAAAGCCTTGCTCCTCCCAGCTCTTTTCCTGATGGCCTTGAACATGACACCTACCGCTTTCTTTCCCTGCCAGGGACAGGACCACCACCGTGGTGAATGTAGAGGGGGATGCCCTGGGAGCCGGCATCCTCCACCACCTGAATCAGAAGGCAATGAAGAAGGACGAGCAGGAGCTGAGAGAAGTGAAGGTAGAAGCCATCCCCAATTGCAAGGCTGAGGAGGAGACGTCGCCTCTGGTGACACACCAGAACCCCGCTGGCCCTGGAGCCAGTGCCCCAGAACTGGAATCCAAAGAGTCAGTGCTGTGAAGGAGCTGGGCCGAGGGCCCGGTTGGCCAGCCCACTTAGACATGGGCACAGCCTTCGTGGACTTTGCGTCTCCTGAGCAATTCTGTGGCCCAGTCACCAGTTTAATGATGACTTTTCAGCCCAGGCGTTGGGCTCCCTAGTGGGAACTGGTGACCAAGGACCAGGACACTCTGACATTTGGCTTCTTCCATGTCCACGCATAGCTGTGGATGCCCCAAGGCTCTGTGTGGAAATACCTCCTTGAGCTGCCCACTTGGAAGGATTCTGGGCTGGTGGGAGTCTGTGGGTGGAGATGGAGAAAACACACATGTATTCTCCATTGCCCCAGCAGCTCTGCATCAGGTGCTTTCTGGGCAAACCCTGGGGATTTTCGTTCACCTGTCCTATTGTCTCCCAAAAAGTAGTCATTGGAGAAATTACCAAATTCTCATCCTTGGCTGGAATTTGCTGAGCTGGGACTCGGGTATTTAAAGGATTGTATTCCAGCTAAATGTTTGTGGCTTCTAGAGGACCAGAAGTGCTGCCAATGTCTTTAGAAATACTCTGGTTGGCATCAGCACAGCTGGGTCTACAGTCAGGAGCATTAAGTAAACCATTTAAGTTCTGAGGTCCAGAGGGGATTGCTCACTTGGGAAAGATACACACTGTTGTCCTCATTCCCTTCCCAGTCCTGGAGTACTTGTGTACTTCTGGGCCCTGGACTCTGTTAACATTTCACCTTTATGTCTAACCACTAGGATTTGGCCAGAGGACCACATCTTCTGGGGAGAGATGATGAGGTTACATGACCTATGTGGGTGTATGAATCTATTATAATTTGATGAGAATCCTTAAAACACATGCTAAAACAAAATTACAAAAACAACCCTTCCAAAAGGAACCCATGTACTAAATATGGTGCCCCATTCCCAGACTCCTGAGCTTTAGCTGATTTCCATCAATGTGGACTTCTTTCATTAAGAAGTTTATTAATGAAATGGTCCACATGCCTCCAGCACCAGGCAGCCCAGTGTTAGTCTAGTGGGGGGGGGGGAAGCCTTTAGAACTTGAAATCTGCTATTTACTTAGTGAGGCTGTTGATAACATTTACGGTATGACCTGCAGCAAGTCCTGTGCCGATGTCACCTGCCTCTTACCTACCTCAGAGAGATCTGGTGAGGCAAACTGCAAATCTGTGAGAAGGACAACCTTACCAGGCACTTCTTTTTTTTTTTTTAAATTCAGTACTGAGGTTTGAATTCAGGGCTTCACATAACTAGACAGGTATTCTACCACCTTGAGCTACACCTTCCAGCCCTATTATTTTGTGCTGATTATTTTTGAGTTGTCTTGCTTTCTTTCCAAATGCTGGCCTGGCCTGGGATCTGACTACTGTAGGCTTCTTGTCATAGCTAGGATGACAGGCATGTACCACTGCATCCAACTAGCTATCTGTTGAAAAGGGGTCTTGCAAGCTTTTCTGCCCTCCTGGCAGAACTGCTAGACCATGAACCTCCACCCTCCTGATCTCAGCCTCCAAAGTAGCTAGAGTTACAGATGTGAGCTACTGGCACCCAGCTTGTTATGTGCTTATCTTTATGTAAGTGGCGGCTTTGTCCGTGGAGGATGCCTTGTAGTAAGAGCAGCTTTCCTGAATGGGGCTCTGTTCTCTTTATGAATCAGAACTCATTGGGCCATTCATTCTTTATGAATCATTTGATAGCATCCAATACACCCTCTTCCTTACCTTCCATCACATCTCTATGTATCCGACTTTGCTGTGACCCCCAGGTCCAAGCACTATTTTTGCCACACAGCCCACATAGGCTATTAAAGTCCACAGTGCACCATCTCATTCATTTTCTTATTATCCCTGTTGTATGTCACCTGGCCCTACAGACAGAGGAAACACCTTTAGGATGTGTGTGCCGATGGGTGAGACCTTTTTTTTAAAAAAAAAAAAGGTATGGTTATTGTAAAGGTGGTATAAAGAAGGCAGAGACCATTTTTAAATGTGGGGAGAAGGGCTGTGCCTGAGTTGAAAGGGGTGAGGATGAGCCATAAGGCCCAGAGCTGACCTGGCTGTGGGAGGACCCAGCTCTTCTAGCCAGCTAAATCCTATTCCAGTATCCTGTGAGGCCTGAGGGCCAGGAGCTTAACAGAACCTTCTACCACTGGCCAGAGCTTAAGCAAATACCTTAAAGAGTAGACAATCACATTGTTGCATACCAACTGCAAATAGACACTGACTTATTTTTCAGACTTTGCTAACTTTTTTTCTTCCATGTATATATATGTATACATAAAATAACGTATATATTCACATACATGTAAGTATGTGTATGCAGTTTCACCTCTAATCCAAACAAGCTTAAGTTTGGATAGAGGAGGACTAAACTACAAGCAGTATGTCTTTAGTATTCTGATTTTTCCATTTCTAAATATGAATTTTACAAAGCTTGGAATTCAGAGCTGGCAATGAGACCCACTGGTTGAACTCTTGTATCCCAACCAGTGGCCTGTATTAAAGGAAGTGCTGCTGTGGTCCAGAGAAGGGTACTTCAGTGTGGCTGGAAGAGGGAAAAGGTGCCATGTCTCCCTGTTTCTCAGTCCACATAGATGTCAGTAGACCTAGGGTTCTGACTGGGAACAATTGTGCTGCAATTGTCTGAAATGTTTCCCCTGTCATTCTGTAACATTTTTCATAAACATTGTCCCTCTCTGATGTTTTGTACATATGACACTTGCCTTAAAATGTAGCACAGTCCTCAAAGGAGAATATAATATTTCTATGGGGACCTGCCTGTCCTTGACTCCTGTCTTGTGGTGGAAGAGCGCTGACTCAATAGAGCTATTGCTCTCCGAAGGGATGGCCTAAAGTGACTGAGTTGAGTTTTTCTTGCTCTTTCCAACCAGCATGAGCCCCTGAGGCAGGGCTGTCTCACTCAGGTGGGTGAAACTTCTTGGGGCCTGAGTCACCAAGTTATCTGTACCCTCTACCCCCAGCTAGTGAACATCAAGCTACCCATATCCTTCCCACTCCTCATTAACAAAACTCTTGAAAAAAGTATGGTTTTGACATATACATCCATAAAATTAGGGCTTGTCAGAACAGATAAGTTGACAGGCCTTAACTGAGTCCTATGGTAAGCCAAGCACAAAGCAGAAGTAATGAAGAAAGCCCAGAGGCCATAGAATTACTGGGAAAGTCCCTGCAGGTGGGCAGTTGCTCATGCTTCTATCATAGTCACTACCATAGCTATTCTCTTTTGTAATCTTGTTTTCAATGACACTACATTCCACCCCAATTAGGGAGTCTAGAGCCTCTTAGGATAGGATTATTCTGCAAGCTCATACTGGAAGCTGCAGTTTTTAGACCCTGGGGTTTTGAAGAAGCTGATCCTTGTTCTGACGTGGACATTTCCAGCTCTTTATACCACGTAGAACTGGTTTTTGTTTCTGGCTAACGCATACAAGATAGGAGAATTTGCACAGCTGGAGCTGATGACAAAAAACTCTGGATTTTTTCCCCTGGAGGATGGTTGGATTCTCCCATATGGAGTGTTTGGAGGCAGGACTAGTACTCAGTGAGTCAGTTTTTCAAGGACAGCAAGTCCACTTGTTCAAGCTACCTCCATGCAAGTGACTAGATTAGGAAGAGCACAGGTCTGTTGGGTCAGAAGCCTGCTCAAAAGAACTTTCAGTTAATTCCACGAACAGTATGAATCCTGTGGCCAGGAGGAGCATGGACTGTGGATTCCAGTCCCATCTCTGCCACTTACTTATGTGTGACCTTTATCTCTCCATGCCCTAGCCTCTTCCAGCTAAAATATAATTGGCAATGCCATAGGCTCTTGTGAGAATGAAGCAAGTTCATAGATGTTACGTATTCAGAAAAGCACCTGGCATGTGGACTGTGCTGTGCCACAGTTGGCTCTTAAACCAGACACAGTAGCTAGAAAGGTTTCTGACCAGCCTGAATCCTTTTTGGCCTGAGCCCAACAAGTATTACAAGTGTGTTTGAGCCTTTTACCCCTGGAGAGACAGAGAGGAAGATTTGTCTCAACTTGTGGGCCTCTGCTCATCTGTGCCTGCATGTATAGGAATATGTCTGTTGCTTAACACTGTGTTCGAAAAAGCAACTCAACAGTGGCCTGGGGGGCCCCTGTAGGAGATGCACTGGATGTCCTTGCTTCATAAAAAGTTTTCCACTCACAACTGCCTCTCTTCCAAGTGCCAATCCAGGCTGCAGACCCCTCCAGCCACACACTATCTTCCACAAGGGGACTTAACTCTCTTGTTCTGTGCTCGGTCCTTAGCCATCACTCAGAGAAGATTGAAGATGTGGGTGGGTGTCAGGTTCTGTCTGCCTGCCAACCTTACAGTCCTGACTGGCAGGTCTTTGGCTTGGGACTCTCAGTGAGTGAAGGGGCACATAAGAAGGGAAATATTAAATCCCTCCTGCTCCAAAATGGAAGGGGAAGCATGATATTGGAGATTGTCTCTGATCCCAGCAAAAAGTGCAGCCAGCCAGGACCTTAGCCACAAGAACACAGAAGTGACGTGAGGAGGCCCATGATGTCCTTGACAGAGACTGACCATCTCCCTAGAGAAGACTTGAATAATCACAAATGCTCTGGGTAAGCAAATTCCATTCTTTTGAACGTGAGGGCAACTTGGTCTACTCCCATATGTGAAGGAAATTCTCCCCTCTTCCCACACCAGGACAAAAGAAAATAAACCCTTTAAAGTTCACCCCTCACTTGCCTTGCTAAATTGGAGATCAGATATTCTCACATAAATTCTTTACCATTCCAGAGTATCTAGCCCCCTCTTCGGGTTCAGATGTAGTAAGCGGCCTTACAAAGCTTTGCTAAGGAGTCTGACCTGACTGACAAGCCCCTTCTGAACTCAGACTGTTAAAGTAAGGAAGCAGTTATGTATTAATGGGAAGCAAAAGCCAGGAGAGAGAAGTAATGTGTTCCTTAAGGAAATCATCCTCAGGAGACTGTTTCATTCAAAGTGACAATGACCCTGCATTTGTTTCCTGATTCACACAGGGTAGCCAGGAGTTAACTACACCTGTATTCTGCCTGGAGGCCACATATCTCAGGAAAAGTTGGAAGATCCAGCCAAACTTTAAAGAAAAGTTTAGTGTCAAAAGACTTCAAAAATTGGCCTTTTGCTGAAGCACATAGAATTGATGAAGGTCTATGGATCTATAGCATGTGCTAAGTTAAGTATGGTCTGGCCAGGTGCCAGTAGCTCATATATGCCTCATGCCTGTAATCTTAGTTACTCAGGTGATTGAGATCTGAGGATCCAAGTTCAAAGCCAGCCTGGACAGAAAAGATCATGAACCTCTTATCTCTAATTAGCCACCAAATAGCTGGCAGTGGAGCTATGGATCCAGTGGTCGAGCACCAGACTTGAGTAAAAAAGCTAAGGGTAAGTGCTTAGGCCCTGAGGTCAAGCCCCCAGAATTGGAATGAGCAACAACAAAAGGGAAGTATGGTCTGAACCAGGAAACTGATTCTGCTAACATTAGTGGAGTGGCCATGCTAAGTAGCTGCAAGGGGCACAACTGCGCCACATTCTATATGAATGGCATGCCCAGGAGTTGAGCAGTACACCACCTTTATGGTTGTAAGTGACAGCCCTGGACTCTGGAGGTGAGCAGCAGTTAAAAGGTCTAACTTACATTCAAACAAAGCATGTTGAGTTTGTCTGCCCTGTGAAACTGGTAAGGTTTTCGACTTGTTAAGGGTATATAGTAATGTGTCTCAGAGGCAAAAATGTTGTGATCAAGAGGACCTTCCTAGCTAGTCAGCTTCTCTTCTCGTGTGAAGTGGTGTGACAAAGCACCCAGGTTTGTTGTCAGGCACTTTGTGGCATCTGATATACTATGTGGCGGGGGAGGGAGCATGTGCGCGTGCACGTGCGCCTGCCTGTATGTAGTGCTATCTTGCTTACTCATGAATCACTTCACAGGAGGTCAGTATCCATTTTGCGGGGGAAGGGGGTGGTACTGGAGTTTGAACCCAGTGTCTCATACATGATCAGCTTGCTTAGTTATCTGGCATTCTACCACTTGTGCCATACCTCCAACCTAACTTTTCACTGGTTATTTGGGACTTTTCTGCCCAGGCTGACTCTGACATGATTCTCTTCCAGATCTTAACCTCTGGAATAGCTAAGTACTAGGATAACAGGCATGATTCACCACTACTG